CTTCTTGACCAGAGGAACATGGAGGGAGGTCAGGTGGGGAGAGGCGTAGTCCCTAAGGGTCCCTTTCACTTGCTGATGCTCTGATTCGTGTCGTCTTGGTAAGAAAGAGAACCAAACTACCCCAGTTCTTGCCTTGTAGGTGAAGTTTATGACTTTGGAAAGTGAGTATATTTTGGCCTGTGTAAGACGATGACTGGGGAATCTTTGTTATGCTCCGATGAGAGCAAAATACTCTTCGAGCAGCTGCATGTCATAGCTGTACAGGGCTTGAGTAGCTTGTTCAAAATAATGGCTCAAGTGATGGAAAATCAATAGGATTATTAATTTATGTTTCAGAGCTATTTCTGAACAGGTTCTCTTTGCATTAGCCTTCTTAAAAAGATAGATCAGAAGCAATTTTTGTGCTTAGGCTTCTGGTATCAGGTTGATGAAAATGTAAAGTGTTTTCTTCCCCCCCCCGGCCTCCAACTGTTGACTTTCCCACTCTGAAATTGTCCAGGAAGGGCTCTTCTATTCTCGATTCAAAAGCTTCCTTAGAAGGGTTTGGGACAGAGAGGAAGGAAAATTAGGGAGATATTTTGGAAGGGAAGGAGTTAGGGGGTTGCTCTTGCTTGGAAGGGGAGCAGTGCTTTGTTCCTGCTGCACTGATTGCTTTCTGCAGCAGTCTCAGCTGCGAGAAGGTGATTTGACTGTGTACACATGGAGATTGTGCCAGTGGATTTTTAATGCTGCCTTTTTTGGTTTGTTTTGTTTTTAAAGATACTAGCGCATTGTGTTGCTAGTTTTCAGCTTTGTACTCTGAAAATACTTACACGTTTCAAGTATCTTTTCACATGCTCTGCTGAGAAAAGGCAGGTGAAAAATCAAAGGAAACTATCGACTCTTATTAATTTTTTTTTCTTCCTGGGGGGACAGGATGAGACCACAAAGTTAAGATGGTCTGTTTTCACCTGAATTCACAGGCCAATACCTGTGTTTTTACCATTTGAAAAATAATTCTCTCTTACATTTGTTGGAAGAGCTTCATAAGCAGGCAAAATTACCTAAAAGTTTGTCGTTCAAGTGCTAACGAATAGGATAGTTTCCTGTGGGTAGGTATTTGCAAGATGAAGCAGTGGTGGACGTTTTGAAGGCAAAGGAAGGAAGCTGAGTACTCAGAAATTTGCTGAGATGTACAGTGAACAGAAATGTGGCAGAGAAGATCTGTCCCCACTTCCCCCTGCCCTCATCCCTCCCAACCACTGCAGGAATTTCTCTTAGGTTTAGGTCTGTCTTTACGTTTGTTTCCCCCTTGGAAAATGTCAGTCTGTTGTTACAAGCGGTCAGCTTCATGTTTCTGTACATAGGAAGACACAAATTCAAATGCTGTTACTGTTTTTGTTGCTAACATTTTTTTTTAATATGGAACTGTTGCTTAATATTAAACATAAGATTATAGAAGTTTTATTATTTAGTAATAAAATCAAGTCAATGAGTCAGTGGGTTGCTCTTATCATCTAATGACCTAATATTTGCAGTAGATACTGTATCAACTTTCTGTTAAAATATTAAAAAAAAAAAAATGTTAGCTACCTTTTTGGGTAAGATGACCAATAACTATTCTCATCTATACATAGGCTTCTCAAGAAATTTTTTTTTTTTTTTTTTAAATCTCTGGTTTATATTCAGAGGTGTTTAGTAGAGAACATGAAATACTTGGTCTCTCTTTGATTTCAAGTTTCACTGCTGTCCTTCTGCCAGTAACAGGGCTGGTACACAGCATTACTGAAGGCCAAGCCTGGAATACAAACAAAGGAGGATCTGCTAAAAGTCCTTGTTTCTTCTTGTTTGCTTTTATTATGTCAAAGATTAGAAAGCGGAAAACATGCACTTTGTCTGGGTCAAGCTGAACGGCATCCCAAGGGCAGAGCCCTTTCAAAATATTGTTGGGAAGCCTAAATATCCTCCAGATTGTTGCCTGGGTTGTTGGAGTCTGCTGTTGGATATCAGTCTTTGGTAAATCCACCAAAGGAGAGTGCAGAGTTGTTTTGTTGGAATGACCAGCGAAGATCTGAACATTGAAAGTTGAAAGGTTGTGCTGTACTGAAAGCTATCTCTTGCCTTCAGTGTTTCTCTTTTCCTTCTGCAACTGCTCCATTTTCAAGTTCATATCTATAGTAGCTCATCTGCTATCAAAATTCTTAGACACAAGCCCTTGATGTTCATCCAGATTTGTATTTTTGGTAGTGGAGCCATTCTGTGCCATGGGAAGAGTGCGGCTACTTAGGCTACATCAAGAGTTTTCCAGTCTGTTAAGTGATCTTCACAGTTACATATTCAGTAACACGTAATGCCTGAGTGTGCAGCAGTTCCTAGTAAAGAATCAAAGCTTATGAAAGATTTCATGTTGGCTACTGTAATTGTTCCTGTGAAGCTAACAAAATTGATTTTTCTTCTTGTAATTTCACGTTGTGGGGAATTGGTGTGAAAATTTGGATTTTAAAATTATTTATTTATTTTAAATAGTTTTCTGCTCATAGATATTGGAACTCTTTCTTTTGCACGTGCTGATGATGTACTGGTGTGAGGTGTGGGAGACTGGGAAAGTGTTGGCAGCCGTATATGCCCAAGGGAAGGCTGGGTGATTTGCTTTGGGGATCCAGCTGCAACTTGATGGTTCTGTTTTTGAATGCAGAGTTAGTGCTTTGTGATGGAAATCCAAGCAATACACCATACTCTGAGATGCAGAGTTATAAGAACTTGAGTGCATATTGATGCTCCTGGCACCCGAGTAGCTTGAGCAGTTAACCACTAGCTGTGTTCAAATAGAGATGCTCTATACAAGTACATTGACCTTATTCTACATTGACAGGCTCCGTGGCTTTAAAGGAGAGGCCATTTCTGGATTCAGTTAAAATGAGAGATCTGTAGCCTGTCCTCAAATTAGCTCTAGAGACACTTACTTCAGGTCTCAGTCCTTTCAGATCACAGTGTGAAAGGAAGAGCTAGTGCACGCATTAGAAACACCGCAGGTTGTTTCCTGTCAGGTCGCTGCTGAGGTCGCGTTTCGAAGCTGTGGCTTGCTCGGTCTGGTTACCGTGCGTACTGACCCACCGCCCCACTGGGGTACTGGCTGTCCGTAACGTGCTGGTGAACATGCACACCGTGGTAGCTCCTTGTCTTTTAAGCTGAGGCACAGAGGGACTAACAGAGCTGTCATGTCATGCTTTAGATATGTTAAGATACTGGAGTACAGTTTCATGACCAGCAAGTTTAACTAATGCCCTAATCACTGGATCATCCTAGCTTCACAAAGTGTCTTCTGGTGCTGCATAAAAGGGCACGTATGCATAGACACAGGTAGGTGTTTAAGAGACATTAGGTAAGTTACTCTCTCTGTTCTATATTTGAAAGCTGACTGCTGTGCTTGAGACTCCTGAAATACTGGGGGCAGGAGACTCATGAAAATAGTTCTCTTTATTTTCTGGGTATGAATGACTTGAAATGAACCCAGCTTCTGCTCCAGTGAGCTGAAGAGGCTTTTTATCCAGGCTACGCTGCAAGGGTGAGACAACGGCTGGGTCTGACAGTCCTGACAACTGATTGTGCGAAAGGCTCTGTCCGTTACTTTTCCCAAGCTTCAGCAAGGTTGAGCTTGTCTTTGGGGAATTCACTCTTGGTATTCTGCAGGGATTATGAAATACGTCAGACACAGGTATTGCCACTCATGCCCTGTGACGGAAAGCTGCTTGTGTGCTGTGGGTAATGCAGTGGGTTTGCTAAACCCCAGTGTGGATCCTCTTAGCCTCAAAAGAATAATCTCCTATTAGCAAGCCATTAGTTCAGACTGTCTATTCAGCAGAAAGCAACAGTTTGCCAGTGCTAGGAGGAGTGTGGGGAGGAAGTCTGCTTCCCAGTTAGTGTCTGGAGCTGTATCACTTGCTGAGAACAGATGATGCCATTCTGTTCTCTCCAGCTCAGTATTCAGCAAAGTGTGTCTCCTGAGGCCACCTCATTATACTCCTTAGTATCTTTTGGAGTATGTTTTGTTCTCCAAAGTAACCAACCTAAGGAAGTAGGAGGAGATGCATGCTTGTTTGTCCCGTTGATTTTATGGGGCCAGATTGGGGCAGTGATGAATCACAGAATCACAGAATATTCGGGGTTGGAAGGGACCTCTGTGGGTCATCTAGTCCAACCCCCCTGCCAAACCAGGGTCGTCTACATGAAGGAGCTCAGCTTCTGTTCTGAGAAACAGAATTAAGTTCTGTTGTGTTTGCAAGGGCAATACCTGGCAGATGTCTGTGTTCATGGCCAAGTAGTGCAGTCATGACCTCAGGGAATGGGGAATTGAGTTCCCAAGATGAGGATCCATGAGAACGTTAACTTTGCTTCATTCTTGTAGTTGGGAGAGTATGAGCTTGGAGAAGTAGCATGACATATGCTTTCAAAATTCAGTGAAGACACAGTGAAGCAGCAATCTCTTCAGCTCTGCCAAAAAAAATTCCAGCCCTTATCATCCAGCTCTTAACACTGTCTTCAAGCCCAGCTAGAGGACAGCAATAATAACAACATTAAGGAACCCAGATGTAGTTCTGAGCTTAGTTCAGACAGCTGTGATGTTCATGTGCAGTAATTCAATGCAGGGCTGACCTCAAGATAGCAGTGTGTCATCTTTCTTCTCTTAATTGCTTTTCTCAGCCCTGCTCACAGCTGTTACTGTGGCACTTTGCCACTATCTCCCTGCTGAGCTGATGTGGTTGCAGCACAGGTTTCACTGGTTAGTCCACAGGAGCAATTTGCTGTCCTAAAACAGGCAGCTGTCATGTTAGTGTTTGTTTCAAATGTCGGTGTCTAGACTGGTGACTTCCTGCATTGCCAGTGCCCATTTGCCTCCCCTTAAAGAGCAGCTGGACACTGAGGTTTTTAACATTGTCTGTTCTCTTCCCCATCTCATTACTTTTCCACACTCTTCAGCCAACCTAATGCCTTTTTTTTTTTTCTTCATATTTGTTTTGCAGGAGTATATTGATGCTCACCCAGAAACCATTATCCTGGACCCCCTCCCGGCTATTCGTACGCTTCTGGACCGATCCAAGTCTTATGAGCTAATTCGGCAAATAGAGGCATACATGCAAGGTAGGCCAATACCTGCTCTCCCTGAAGGCTTTTACTGTGACCCGAGAGAAGGAAGCAGCTAGCTTCTGGAGGCTAGATGTGAGGTCTGAAGTAGTGGTTTGGGGCCTCTTGCGTTCTGTCTTTCCATGGGAGTACAAACACTAAAGCATCCCTGTGTCACAGGATTGCCCTCTGGAATCCCGTGCTCTTCTTTTTCCGTGTATACAAAGGAGGTTTGCGTCTGGTTAAAAATATGATGTGGGTTTAATGGGGAGCATATTTACTGCAGTGAGTGCTCCCAGAAATCTTCTGGAAAACATCGCGTGCTGGTAAATTGAAATGACTGTACAAACTTAGCAGCTTGTCATAAGAATCCTGAGGCCTGTATTTGGGGGAGATTTATGGAAGAAGAAAAACTGGGTTTGGAAAGGACTGAAAGGAATTTAATAGTGCTGAGATCTTTGAGAAGCACTGGAAGCCTATTGCATAATTTAATTGCTAGAAGGAACATAAATGAGCTTCTGGTGTTGACTAGTTACCTGACACAGGCTGTTGACTTCAATTGGCATCATTTGAGTTGTATTCCCATGTTTAGAAGTCATGCATTTTTCAACCTGAGTAATTCTAATATCGTATCGTTTTAACCATTGTAACTGTTGGGTTAAGTCAGTCTTTCATTCCCATTCTACTTCTGTTACTGTCATATTCTTGAAACATTTGGCTTTTGAGTTTAAATCTAGAGCAGCTCTTGAAAGAACGGTTTTGTATGTTAGATGACTATATTTGGGGGAAGTTGAGTTGCTGAACTATGCTCTAATGGGGCAGTACTGGAATTACCATTGTGATTGTCTAGTCGCTGTCTTGATGGGCAGGTAAGAAGCTCATCCGTTTGTGTTTTTGTAGTTGTGGATTTATAGACATACTGTTTGCATCTGACCCGCCTGGCCCCATTGACAGTGTCTGTGTAAAAATAAGACTAATGATTCGCAGCACTCTCCCTTGTTGTTTGTAGTCTCTTTAGGAGAAAATGTTCAATTAGTTTAAAAGGATTTTGGTTTGGAGTGTTTATTGCTGTTTGTGAGGGAGAGAGAGGGAGAGAGGTACTGAGGAAAACATGTACTCTGAGGAAATGATTGGGATTTTGTTCTACCAGTGCTGAGATTCAGTAGGGTTGTTTTTTGTTGTTTTTATTTTTAAATTTCTATTGGTGTTGTTATTGTTATCTCTATGAGAACAATGGTTGGGAGCGCATCCAGTTTTTGCAAGTAGTTTGTCTTGTGCATATTTCGGCCTTCTCTGGTCAAACTGAAGAGAAAAAGGAATAAATGCTTAAGGAGGAAAAAGAAAAAAGTAGGTTTGTATTCAGTTAAAACTGACACTTTAAAGAGAAGCTGTTAATAAAGTTGAGGAATGAGGTAAGGAAAAGCTTCGCCTGTTCTCACTGGCCACTGCAGTGTTAGGTAACCATACTTCCCCTGTCCCTGTGTCTCCTCATGCTTCCCCACCATCTCATCTTATTTCTTTCTCATCATCAGAAATATCATGACAGAGACCTTGAACCAACTTTTTATTTAGCAGGGAAATCTCAGGAGAGCTGAGTAATTGGCTAACTGCTTATTCTGGCGTAAGTAGATCAGCCTTTCTATTCCCGCACGTAGTGATCCACAGTGAGAATTTCAAGAGACCAAAGAAGTTGCATCCCTCCAGACAGTGTGGTGGGTTTTTTTCCTCCTCCTTGTTTTCACCTGCTAAATTGTGTTTTCTGCTTTGCAGCTGTCATGTCATACCCCAAGGCCATGAGCACTTACAAAACTCGAACAAGAAGAGATACATCTGTGAATAGCATGAGGTCTTAAGAGCCACATCTTTTTTGTTCTGGAATTTCAAAATGGATGTCACTGCCAAGAAAATAATATCCTAGTCTTTAGCTGTAACTAGAGAGCCCAGTTTATCACAGGATACAAAACTGATTTGATGGGTTAAGTTCAGTGCAAGGGATTATCTCTTCCAAAGGAATGCCATAAACTCTGGAGGGTTGAGTATGTGTGTAAGGAGAAATCTTCTGCTTTTGAAAGTCTTTCAAAAGAAAATTTAGTGTTCGTTTACAGACCAGTTTTGCATTCAGGTGATCATTACCTATGTTTGAATTCTGGTTTGAAGTATCTATAAATGAGGTATATTCTTTATTTATGATCTTCAGTTTATACTTCATTTCATCCCTGTAGACCTTACAAGAACTGTATAAGTAAAGATTTGAACCAGTGGGGTTAAAGGGAGGATGACCACATGTTCTGCTGACTCTGGTTTTTACAGTACAGAATCCTCCTCCCTCTGTGTTGCCTGCATCTTTGAAAATGGCAGATGTTGATAAGGTGACTACATTCTGCAGCAGTAGGGCCCCAAGTTCTATAAACACCTTGATTTAAAATGTAATTATCTTTCAGATTTCCAAGTTAGTGTGTTGCTTGTCCTTTTGACAGTGAATTCTCCATGCTTCCTGAAAAAGGGAATGCCTATTTGAAGTGTCAAAAACTGAGCATCTGGACATCGTTAGGCTTTCTGGAAGTCCTGTTGCTTGCTCTCTATTCAGTCAAGTGTCTTGAGTGATAAGTAGTTTGATCCAGCCTCATGAGAATGGCTTGGGAAGACACTTTGTGGCACAGCCTTTGTCTCTGCTACTACAGTCTGTGCCCACTAAAAGAACTGAGGTGGAGCAGAACTAGTAACTAGGCAAGAGGTGTACATGCAGTCTGGGGGAAAGCGTGGAGTTCAACCTGGACTTTGCATGTCCTAGGCTGACAGTGTAACTACTCAGACCTTGTGGAAATACGAGGTTCACAGGTCTGCAGAATCATTGAGGTTGGAAGAGACTTCTTGAGATCATATAGTCCAACTATAGAGCAGGATCCTCTAGAGGAGGTTCCCCAGGTCCGTGTCGTATTGGGTTTTGTGTATCTCAATGGATGGGGACTGCACGACCTCTCTGGGCAACCAGCTCCTGGAGTCACCTTGAACCTGGTGTGCTAGCATGCAAGTAGAAGTTGCTGAGGTGACTTGCAGAGGTTTTATTCTTCTGTGTAGATAGTGATATCTCCCTTGTAAGGAAATGGGACTCTGTTCTAAAAAAAAAAAAAAAAAGTTTGAAGAGATGTTTTAGTATTGAGTTTAGTGGATGCTTTTTTAGAAGCAATAGTCTGGTCAGGGCTGTGACTTCCTCTTTTTCCTGTTCTCTGTTATTCTGAGTGCAAGTTCTAAAAGAGCTAGTCATTTTGAAACCTTCACTTCTGAGTTGTCTTTAAAAAGACTAGAAAAATAAAGTTTGCATTCCCAACTTGTGTCCTACATAGCTGGCAGGTCTATCTTGAAATAAATCAATAAATAGATTTTTTCAGTATGGCAGCTGAGTTCCCTCAGCAACTGTATTGTTTTGTTTACTTATCTGTGAAGAATTGCTTCTGATATAAAAGCGCTCTAGATCAGGTTCTGTAATGTTTGGTGAAAGATTAGGAGCATTATTTAAATGAAGTTTCATTTTTAGCAGAGTACTGTATGGTTGGAGCTGTGTCAGCCTTTTTTAATCTTTAACCTCATGAAAAATAACTAAATTCTCTGATACCTTATTGAAAATCTGTGATCATACGGCCTTGGAATTCAAGATCTGACTTTAAATTATGCTTGAGATGGTAATAGATAATCACTGTGACTAGGCACTAACTAACCTTTTCACATTTCATTTTTAGTTGGAAAATTAAAAGCTTTTCATATTCTCTACGTATCTTACAAGTAATAATCTAAACTGAAGGAATTTAAAACACAAGTGAGGTAAACATGCTACTCGGTGCTCTACCCAGTTAGCAAACGCATCTACAACTAATTTTGCTGTCTCAAATGACTTACAGGTTTCTTCAGTAATGTTTGAACCTCAGATATTGGAGACCTTGGAGTTCCTTTCTTTAACCACTTCCACCTGGCTTTTTTCCATGACTATAAAATCTTGTTGTTCTTACATTCTTAAATTTAACTCCAGATCTAAAATTTCTGCAGAAACTGGTCTTTGCAGGGTTCCTCTACAAGAGAGAACTCCTGCATGAGCCAAGCTGCAACTCCTGAATTGCTTTCTCTCCTAACAGTCTTTTTTGACCTACAGGAACTATTCCCTCGGGACACTCTTAAGCAGTGTAAAACCCTCTAGTTGTGATATTTGTATCCCAGCATGTAATCGAAGTCATTTGTGATTGATTGCTTACTATTGTATGAGATGCTGTTGCTGTTGTGTGTGCTGCTTTCTGATTTTGTGGGGTATTGTGGAACAGATCATGGCACCCTTCTCTTTTCTCTGGATTTCTTTTTATTGGATTCTGTCTGTCTTAGAAATACTCCTTGAACAGCTGCATGTATCTTTGGTGACTAGGAGAGAGGCTCAGCATGATGTAATGGGTAAGGCATTTGATTTGGGGCTTTGGGTTTTCTGCTTGGCGCTGGTTCTGACTTGCTGCGTGACCTTGGGCACAGCATGTCACTCCTGTGTGTCTCTTTCCTCTCTTGACTCTCACCTGCCTGTCTCTTTCCTTTAGATGCCAGGTTTTTCTGGGCAGGAACCTCTTTTCCAGATCTGTATACACATACTCTAAAATAGTGAGTCTCTGATGCCAAGCAATTTGTGTAGGTGTTGTTTTAACAGAAATTGTAGATCTGTTGTTGAGTAAGAAACCTGGGTATTTACAATTCAACACCAAAGTAGGTAATCTGGTTTTATTTTTGGAAGTTTTGGAGCATGTACATTGCTGGAGCAGTGCATACTCAGAACTTCTCAAAATCAGGCCACCCAGTTAAAAGTGCCTGAAAATAGCTGTATATACATAGCTCTAGGCATTCACCTTTTGAAACTGTGGCCGCTACTCTCTGTGACCTAATTTTCACGGCAGTTTTGGTCAGAGGGGAGGGAGAAGAATAGTCACACAGGTCAACTTCAGGCACCTGTATCTGCATTTGAAGCTCCTGTTAAAAAAGGAAAGGAAAAA